TTGGTTTACATCTGGTTTAGTCCTGGGTTAGTCCCTAGGTTTAATCTTGGTTTAACCTGGTTTAGCCTTGGTTAAGAACTGGTTTATACTTGGTTTAGAATTGGTTTAGATCTGGTGTAAACGTGTTTTAGCCTTGGTTTAGTCCTTGTTTAGACTTTGTTTAGACCTGGTTTAGATTTTGTTTAGACCTGGTTTAGACTTTATTTAGACCTGTTTTAGACCTGGTTTAGATTTAGACCTGGTTAGTTTTAGACCTGGTTTAGATTTAGACCTGGTTTAGACTTTGTTTAGACCTGGTTTAGACTTGGTTTAGACCTGGTTTAGACCTGGTTTAGATTTTGTTTAGACCTGGTTTAGACTTGGTTTAGACCTGGTTTAGATTTTGTTTAGACCTGGTTTAGACCTGGTTTAGACCTGGTTTAGACCTGGTTTAGATCTGGTTTAGACTTTGTTTAGACCTGGTTTAGACCTGGTTTAGACTTTTAGACTTTGTTTAGACCTGGTTTAGACCTGTTTAGATTTTGTTTAGACCTGGTTTTTTAGACCTGGTTTAGATTTTGGTTTAGACCTGGTTTAGATTTTGTTTAGACCTGGTTTAGAGTTTAGTTTTGGTTTAGACCTGGTTTAGACCTGGTTTAGAGTTTAGACCTGGTTTAGACCTAGGTTTTGTTTAGACCTGGTTTAGTTTAGACCCTGGTTTAGTCTTTAGTTTAGACCTGTTTAGACCTGGTTTAGACCTGGTTTAGACCTGGTTTAGACCTGGTTCGTTTAGACCTGGTTTAGTTTAGACCTTTGTTTAGACCTGGTTTAGACCTGGTTTAGACCTGGTTTAGCCTCGGTTTGGTTTAGTCTCTGGTTTAGTTTTGGTTTAGATTTGTTTAGACCTGGTTTAGACCTGTTTAGACCTGGTTTAGACCTGGTTTAGCCTCGGTTTAGTCTCGGTTTAGTCTTTGTTTAGACCTGGTTTAATTCCGGTTTGATCTCGGTTTACGCCTGGTGTTTTTATTTCACTATTTTGTCCGTAAACAAATTCCATTTTCTAATATTGTTCTGCCTCCAAATCCGCCCTTATCTCTGCCCGCCCCGATGAGCTTCATTTGACTGGATCTGAACAGAACTCAGAACGTTTTTTTTTACACCGACTCTGGACCAGATGGACACGACAGGAAACAAAGACGACATTTTTAACAATTCATTCTTTTTTGTTTGTTTTTGTTTTCATATTTTGTGGTGTTTTGGTCTTGGTCGTGTTTGGACTTTGGTCTCGGCGTCTCGGTTTGACGTTTAAACGGGATCTGCGCGGCTAACGAGGCGAGGGCGCTTTTAATGAGCCCGTTCGCCGTGACATTTATTTGTTTATTTATTTAAATCCGACAGAATTTACACATCACACGATTCTTTTTGTCCTCGTGTTTTAATTAATTATGAATGCGCCGATCAAGCAAAACATTATGACAACTGACAGCAGATTCCACCGGCAGAGAGGGCGGGTTTGAGGTTCACTTAGACCTGGTTTAGTCCTGGTATAGTCCTAGTCCTGGTCCTGGTTTAATCCTGGTTTAGTGTTTTGTTTAGTCCAGGTTTAATCCTTGTTTAGTCCTGTTTTAGTTCTGGTTTAGTTATAGTTTAGTCCCGATTTAGACCTGGTTTAGTCCTGGTTTAATTCTAGTCTAGTGCTGCTTTGGTCTCGGTTTAGTCTTGGTTTAGTCCTAATTTAGTGCTGGTCTAAGTCCTGGTTTAGTCCTAGTTTAGTCCTAGCTTTGTCCTGGTTTGGAACTGGTTTGGTTTTGGTTTACATCTGATTTAGTCTTGATTTAGTCTTGGTTTTGTCCCTGTTTAGTCTCGTTTCAGTCCTGGTTTAGTCCTGGTTTAGTTCTAATTTAGTCCTAGTCCTGGTCTTGGTTTAGTTTTGGTTTAGACCAGATTTAGTCCTTATTTAATCCTGGTTTAGTTCTAGTTAGTCCCCGTTTAGTCTTGGTTTTTGTCCTAATTTAGTCATGGTTTAGTCCTGGTTTAGTTCTAATTTAGTCCTGGCTTAGTCCTAGTTTAGTCCTGATTTAGTCCTGGTTTGGAGCTGGTCTAGTATTGGTTTAGAACTGCTTTAGTTTTGGTTTACATCTGGTTCAGTCTTGATTTAGTATTGTTTTAGTCCCTGGTTTTGTCAAGGTTTAGTCCCTGGTTTAAACTTGTTTCAACCCTGTTTTGTTTCTGTTTTAGTCCCTGGTTTAGTCCTAGTTTAGTTCTGGTTTAGTCCTAGTTTGGAGCTGGTCTGGTATCCATTTAGAACTACTTTAGTTTTAGTTTAATCCTGGTTTAGTCTTGGTTTAGTCCCAGTTTAGCCCTGTTTTAATCCAGTTTTAGTCCCTGGTTTAGTTCTGGTTTAATCCTGTTTTAGAACTAGTTTAGTCACTGGTTTAATCTTGGTTTAGTCCCAGTTTAGTCCCTGGTTTAGTCCTGGTTTAATCCTGTTTTTGTCCTGTTTTAGAACTGGTAGTCACTGGGTTAGTCTTGATTTAGTCCCTGTTTCAGTCCAGGTTCAGCCCAGGTTTAGTCCTGGTTTAGTCCTGGTTTAGTCCCTGGTTTAGCTGGTTTAGTCCTGGTTTAATCTTGGTTTAGTCCCAGTTTAGTCCCTGGTAGTTTTAGTCCCTGGTTTAGTCTGGTTTAATCTTGGTTTAGTCCCAGTTTAGTCCCTGTTTAGTCCCTGGTTTAGTCCTGTTTTAATCTTGGTTTAGTCCCAGTTTTAGTCCTGGTTTAGTCCTGGTTTAATCTTGGTTTAGTCCCAGTTTAGTCCCTGGTTTAGTCCTGGTTTAATTGTGTTTAGTCCTGGTTTAATCCTGTTTTTGTCCCGTTTTAGAACTGGTAGTCACTGGGTTAGTCTTGATTTAGTCCCTGTTTCAGCCCAGTTTCAGCCCAGGTTTAGTCCTGGTTTAGTCCTGGTTTAGTCCTGGTTTAGTCCTGGTTTAGTCCTGGTTTAGTCCTGGTTTAGTCCTGGTTTAGTCCTGGTTCAGTTTCTCATTTTAATAAACCGAGAAAACTCCTGTGTTTATATTTTCTCTTCATGTTGTGAATCAAATGAACAGAACATCAGGCTCTCGTTTTTAGTGCTTTGCCCTTTAAACTGTAAAAAAAAAAAAATCTCAAGTAGAAGTAAAAGTACCACGTCAGAAAGTATTTGAAGTATTTGAAGTATCTGTAACCCGTGTAAGTCACCCTGAACCTGAATCAATCTTTCTCAAACGCGTCCTGGTCCGAGGTCTCGTGTCATTACCGCGTCTGTCCTTTTTCTCTCATTAACCTCCACGGGACCGAGCTCAGTCCCGGTTTAGTCCCGGTTTAGTCCTGGTTTAGTCCCGGCGCTAAACACACATTTGCATTGTTATTACCGACCTCTGCCGCCTCCACACACGATGCAAACGCACACACACGGACGCACACACACACACACACGCATCACATTTACATCCATTACCGTTAAATTACAGCGGACGGTTTCGGCGCCGAGATAAAAACGCCAAATTAACTTTGTCTAATGGTTAAAAAAAACACACACACAGACACAGACACACAGACACAGAGACACAGAGGGTAAAGACGACAAAGACACTCAGGGTGAAACACACCAGTTAAAAATACTACACAAGAAAAACAGGACTGAACCAGGACTAAAACAGGACTAAACTAGGACTAAAATAGGACTAAAGCAGGACTATAACAGAGACTATAACAGGACTAAAACAGAGACTAAAACTGGACTAAACTAGGACTAAAGCAGGACTATAACAGAGACTAAAACTGGATTAAACTAGGACTAAAGCAGGACTATAACAGACTAAAACTGGACTAAACTAGGACTAAAGCAGGATTAAAACAGGACTAAAACAGAGACTAAAACAGGACTAAACTAGGACTAAAGCAGGACTATAACAGAGACTAAAGCAGGATTAAAACAGGACTAAAACGGAACTAAAACAGGACTAAAACAGACTAAAACAGAGACTAAAACAGAGACTAAAGCAGGATTAAAACAAGACTAAACCAGTACTGAACCAGGGACTAAACTAGGACTAAAACAGGACTAAAACAGGACTGAAACAGAGACTAAAACAGGACTAAACTAGGACTAAAGCAGGACAAAAACAGGACTGAAGCAGGACTAAAACAGGACTATAACAGGACCAAAACAAGGACTACAACAGGACCAAAACAAGGACTAAAACAGGACTAAAACAGGATTAAAACAGAGACTAAAACAGGACTAATCCAGGAGTAAACCAGGACTAAACCCAGGATTAAACCTGGACCAAACTAAAACTAAAGCAGGACTAGACCAAGGACTAAACCCAGGACTAAACCAGGACTAAACCCAGGACTAAACCAGGACTAAACCAAGGACTAAACCAAGGACTAAAGCAGGACTAAAGCATTACTAGACTACAAGGTTTAAACCCAGGTCTAAAGCAGAGCTAAATCCAGGACTAAATCCAGGGCTAAATCTAGGACTAAACTTGGACTAAACCTGGACATAAGCAGGACTAAACCAAGGCCTAAAACCAGAAGTAAACTAGGACTAAAACCGGACCTTAACCAGAACTAATCCAGGTCGAAACCAGGTCTAATAAGGACTAAATCAGAACTAAACCAAGACAAAACTAGTACTTCACCCTGGACTAAACAGGACTAAACCAGGACGCTACTGTACTTGGATTAAACCCCAGATTTATCCTCAATCTGGGACCAAACTAGGACTAAACCAGGTCTAAACTCGTACTAAATAAGAACTAAATCCAGGGACAAAACCAATGACAAAACCGGTACCTAAAACAGGACCGTCTTAACTTAAAATACTGGATAAGAAAATGTTTATGTTGGAAAAAAAATCCATATTGGTGTTTTTCTTTCCAGGAGGTTGTAGTTTTTAGGCTTGGTCCAGTGTGGATTTTTTGATAATTTTCCCGTTTGTTTTCCAGACCTCTGACGAAGACCGTGGAGTTCCCAGGAAACCGAGGTCCTCTGGGGATTCACGTGGTCCCGTACTGCTCGTCTCTCAGCGGAAGGTAACGAAAACTCACAGTGTCCATAAAAAAAACAGGAGAATATACCAGGGACTAAACCAGAACTGAACCAAGACTCACCGAGGACTTACCCAAGACTAAACCTAGACTGAAATCCAGAGACTGTCCTATACTGAACCAGGACTAAAGCAGGACTAAAGCAGGACTAAAGCAGGACTAAACAAGGACCAAACAAGAACCAAACCAAAAAGTAAACCAAGGACTAAACCAAGGACTAAACCAAGGACTAAACAAGGACTAAACCAAGGACTAAACCAAGGACTAAACAAGGACTAAACAAGGACTAAACCAAGGACTAAACAAGGACTAAACCAAGGACTAAACCAAGGACTAAACCAAGGACTAAACCAGGACTAAACCAAGGACTAAACCAAGGACTAAACCAAGGACTAAACCAGGACTAAACAAGGACTAAACAAGGACTAAACCAAGGACTAAACCAAGGACTAAACAAGGACTAAACCAAGGACTAAACCAAGGACTAAACCAGCATTAAATCAGTATTAAACCTGGTCTAAACCTGGTCTAAACCAAAGGACTAAACCAGCATTAAGTCAGGACTAAATCAGGACTAAATCTGGACTAAACCAAGGACTAAATCAAGGACCAAATTAAAGACTAAACCAACATTAAGTCAGGACAAAACCTGGATTAAACCAGGACTAAACCAGCATTAAGTCAGGACTAAACCCGGACTAAAACCTGGACTAAACCGGGACTAAACCCAGGCAAAACCTGGTCTAACCAAGGACCAAACCGAGGACCAAACTGAGGACCAAACTGAGGACCAAACTGAAGGACCAAACCGAGGACCAAACCGAGGACCAAACCAAGGACCAAAACCAGCATTAAATCAGGACTAAAATCCAGACTAAATTCAGACTAAACCAGACTAAACCAACGACCAAACCCAGACTAAACCCAGACTAAACCAATGACCAAACCAAGAACTAAACCAAGGACCAAACAAAGGACTAAACCCGGACTGAACCCGGACAAAACCAGGACAAATCCAGCATTAAGTCAGGTGTAAACCAGGACTAAACCAGGACTAAACCAGGACAAAACCAGGACAAATCCAGCATTAAGTCAGGTCTAAACCAGGTCTAAACCAGGTCTAAACCAGGTCTAAACCAGGTCTAAACCAGGTCTAAACCCGTCTCTTGTGTGTTTGTAGGACTCTGGGTCTCCACATCAGAGGGATTGAAGCTGCGAGTCGCTCAAAGAAGGAAAATCTGTTTGAGGAAGACGAGTGCATCGTTCAGATCAACGACACGTCCCTCCTGGACAAAACCTTTGCTCAGTGAGTTCATTTCAAATGGAGGGCAGGGCCGATATAACTCTATGGGAGAATCATTATTTATAACTCTATGGGAGAATCATTATTTATAACTCTATGGGAGAATCATTATTTATAACTCTATGGGAGAATCAATTTATAACTCTATGGGGAGATCACTGTTTATAACTCTATGGGAAAATCATTGTTTTTGACTTCATGGGAGAATCGTTTCTTACTTTATGGGAGAAGCACTGTTAATAACTCTATGGGAGAATCATTATTTATAACTCTATGGGAGAATCACTGTTTATAACTCTATGGGAGAATTATCATTATAACTCTATGGGAGAATCATTATTTATAACTCTAATGGGAGAATCCACTGTTTTTCTATGGGTTTATAACTCGACTTTATGGAGAATCACTGTTTATAACTCTATGGGAGAATCATTTTTATAACTTATGGGAAAATCATTGTTTATCTATGGGAGAACGTTTCATTATATGGGAGAATCACTGTTTATAACTCTATGGGAGAATCATTATTTATAACTCTATGGGAGAATCACTGTTTATAACTCTATGGGAGAATCACTGTTTATAACTCTATGGGAGAATCATTATTTATAACTCTATGGGAGAATCACTGTTTATAACTTATGGAGAATATGGGAGAATCATTATTTATAACTCTATGGAGAATCAATTTATAACTCTATGGGAGGAGTCACTGTTTATAACTCTATGGAAAATCATTGTTTTTGACTTCATGGGAGAATCGTTTCTTACTTTATGGAGAAGCACTGTTAATAACTCTATGGGAGAATCATTATTATAACTCTATGGGAGAATCACAACTCTATGGGAGAATCACTGTTTATAACTCTATGGGAGAATCACTGTTTATAACTCTATGGGAGAATCATTGTTTATAACTCTATGGGAAAATCATTGCTTTTGACTTCATGGGAGAATCGTTTCTTACTTTATGGGAGAAGCACTGTTAATAACTCTATGGGAGAATCATTATTTATAACTCTATGGGAGAATCACTGTTTATAACTCTATGGGAGAATCACTGTTTTTGACTTCATGGGAGAATAATTTCTTACTTTATGGGAGAAGCACTGTTAATAACTCTATGGGAGAGTCATTATTTATAACTTCATGGGAGAAGCACTGTTTATAACTTCACGGGAGAATCACTTTATAATTCTATGGGATAATCATTGTGTATAACTCAATGGGAGAGTCAATGTTTATAACTCTATGGGTGAGTCACTGTTTGTAACTCTGTGAAAACTCCAAACTTATGATCCATAGATTTTTTTGGGATAGGCTTCATAGACTTGTCATATTAATCTTATGTCTTAAAGTTAGCATCACAACTCCAGGAAATTTTTACATTAATTTAATCATTTTCATTTTTTTTCTAGATCTCAGGAGGTGTTCCGCGACGCCATGTCCGCGCCGTTGATCCGCTGCGAAGTCCTTCCTGCCGCCAACAAACCGCGCTACGAAAAAAGCCTCATCGGGAACATTTTCAACCCGGACAGCAAAGACTCGTCGGCCAAAGCCAGTCCTCTCTTAGTCCGGCCTAGGTCGGGATCTCAGCCGCTGGACCCGAATCCGAGACCCAAGATAGACCTGAGAAAAGCAGAGACCAAGACCCCAGAACCTCCTTCGAACCCGGCGCCGTCTTGGCAGGAACCGGCTCCGAGGCAGAACCCGATCCCTCCAGCTGAGGGCGCAATTTTCACCAAGACGGGAGGGAAGAAGATCAAAATCGACCTGAAAAAAGGTGAGATTTTGGAGTTTTCGCTTTGTAGCGTAATTAGACAGTGAGTTAATCTTTTATTTATGTTATAATGTTGTTTCCTCATCAAAAACACACCTGGAGTTGGACTAAACCAGAACTAAACCAGGACTAAAACCAGGATTTATCTTGGATTAAACCAAGACTAAACCAGGACTTAATACAGGACTAAACTGAGGGACTAAACCAGGTGCCAACACCATGTCAAGACTAAACCAAGACTAAAAACAAGATTTAGCTCAGACTAAACCAGGACTAAACTAAACCAAAGACAAAACCAGTGACCTAACGAGGACTTAGTCTGGACTAAACCTGGATGAAACCTGGATTTAACCAGGACTTAAACCAGGATTTAGTTTGAACTAAACCAGGATTAAACCATCATGAAACCGACATGTAACCAGGTCTAAAACCAGGTCTAAAACCAGGGACTAAACCAGGGACTAAATCTGGACTAAAACTGAGATGAAACCTGGACAAAACCTGGATTTTAGCAGGACTTTAACCAGGACTAAAACCAGATCTAAAACCAGGAACTAACCAGGACTAAGCAAGGACTAAACCAGGACTAAAACCAAGATTTAGCTCGGACAAAACCAGGTCGAATCCAGGACTTAAACCAGGACTAAAACCTGGACTTAAACCAGAACTGAACTAAACCCAGGGACAAAACTAGAACTAAAATCAAGACCTAGTTTGGACTAAACCAGGACAAAACCTGGATTTAACCTGGATTAAAAAACGGACTAAAACCCGGACTAAAACCTAGATTTAACGCGGACTAAAACCCAGACTAAAACCCAGATTAAATTTGACCAGGGACGAAAACCAGGACTAAAACAGACCAGGACTCAATTAGGATAAGACCTAGACCAGCACTACATCAGGTCTAAATCAGGTCTTGCTCAGGTCTTACCCAGGACTCGTTGGTTTGTTGTGGACCTGAGTCTTTCCCGTGGTCTTGTGTGTTTCCTCTGAGGTTTTTCTGTGCAGATCTGGAGATGTTTGTGGAGATATTTTACGGCGACGTTTGTGTTTTTATCACCGTTAAACAAATCTACATCGATTTGTTGATGGTCTGAAAATATCTTCAGAGTGAGAATCAGACTCGTCGTTTTTGTTGTTGTGGGATTTTAAAAGATATAATAAATAAATAGTGTAAAGAAATTCTGACTAAACGAGATAAAGACTAAAACAGGACTAAAACAGGACTTAAACAGGAGGAAGGACTAAAACAGGACTAAACAGGACTAAACAAGGACTAAAACAGGACTAAACAAGGACTAAACAGGACTAAAACAGGACTAAAACAGGACTAAACAAGGACTAAAACAGGACTAAAAAGGACTAAAAACAGGACTAAACAAGGACTAAACAGGACTAAAAACAGGACTAAAACAAGGACTAAAACAGGACTAAAACAAGGACTAAAAAGGACAAGGACTAAAACAGGACTAAAAAACAAGGACTAAAACAAGGACTAAAACAGGACTAAACAAGGACTAAAACAGGACTAAAACAGGACTAAACAAGGACTAAAACAGGACTAAACAAGGACTAAAACACAGGACTAAAACAGGACTACTAAACAAGGCAGGACTAAAACAGGACTAAACAAGGACTAAAACAAGGACTAAAACAGGACTAAAAGGACAAGGAGGACTAAACAGGACTAAACAGGACTAAAACAGGACTAAACAAGGACTAAAACAGGACTAAAAACAAGGACAGGACTAAACAAGGACTAAAACAGGAAGGACTAAAACAGGACTAAAACAAAACTAAAACAGGACTAAACAGGACTAAAAAACAGGAAAAACAGGACTAAAACAGGACTAAACAAAGGACTAAAAGGACTAAAGGACTAAAACAGGACTAAACTAAACAACAGGACTAAACAAGGACTAAACAGGACTACTAAACAAACAAGGACTAAACAGGACTAAAACAGGACTAAACAAGGACTAAACAGGACTAAAAAGGACTAAAAGGACTAAAAAGGACTAAACAAGGACTGGACTAAAACAGGACTAAACAGGACAGGACTAAAACAGGACTAAAAGGACTAAAACAGGACTAAAAAGGACTACTAAACAGGACTAAAACAGGACTAAACACAGGACTAAACAAGGACTAACTAAAACAGGACTCAAACTAGGACTAAACAGGACTAAAACAGGACTAAAACAGGACTAAAACAGACAGGACTAAACAGGACTAAAGCAGGGACTTAATCAGGACTAAATCAAAACCAAACCTAGACCAGGACTAAACTAAGACTAAACCATAACAAAAACCAGCATTAAAAAAATCGAAACGACAGCTAAATTAGGATTCAACTAGGACTGAACCAAGTCTCGACCAAGACTCGACCAAGACTCGACGACCAGGACTCGACCAGGACTCGGACCAGGACTCAGGACTCAGGACTCAGGACTCGGCCAGGACTAAAGCCAGCACAAAAAAATCTAAACCACTGCTTAAGGATTACTCAACTACTATTGAACCAGAACTAAACCAGAATTTAGGCCAGGACTAGACTTAGACCAGGTGTTAAACATGACTAAATCAGAACCAAACCTAAACCAGGACTAAACCAGGACTAAACCAAGACTAAACCAAGACTAAAACTATCATAAAAATATCAAAACTACAGCTAAATTAGAACTCCACCGGCACTCGACCAGAACTTAGACCAGGATTTAGGCCTGGACTAGACCTAGACCAGGTCTTAATCAGGACTAAATCAGAACCAAACCTAGACCAGGACTAAACTAAGACTAACCACGAAACCATAAAACCAGCAAAAAAACCAAACAGCTAAAATTAGAACCAAAAGGACTCAACCAGGACAACCAGGACTCAAAAACAGGACTAACCAGGACAACCAGACTAAACCAGGACTAAAAGGAGCAAAAAATCTAAACCAAACTAAACTTAACCAAGGAAACCTCAAGACTCAAACTAAGGACTAAACCAAACTAAACCAGGACTAGACCAGGATTAGGACAAAGGACTAAAGACCTAGACCAGGAAAATCATGGACTGAGTCAGAACCAAACTAAGACCAAAGACTAAACCAGACTAAACCAAGACAAAAAACCAACTAAAACAAAACTAAACTCAAGACTAACCAACTAACCAGGACTAAAAAACACAAGCGACTAAAAAGCTAAAAAAGAACCAAAAAGGACTTACCAAACTCTTAAAGGAAACCAATCTAACAAACAGGCTCAACCAGGAACTCGACCCAGGACTTAGACCAGGATTTAGATCAGGACTCGACCTAGCCCAGGACTTAATCATGGCTGAATCAGAACCAAACCTAGACCGGACTAAACCAGGACTAGCGACGACTAAAACCAGCATAAAAAAATTCAAAAACAGTCTACTGGAGTAGGACTCAACTGAGGACTGAACCAGGACTCAACCAGGACTCAACCAGGACTCAACCAGAACTCACCCAGAACTAAAGCCAGCACAAAAAATATCTAAACCAATTCTAAATCTTAAGGATTGCTCAACTAGGACTTCACCAGGACTCAACCAGGATTTAACCAGACTTAGACCAGGTCTTAATCAGGACTAAGTTAGAACCAAACCTAAACCAGGACTAAACCAAGACTAAACCAAGACTAGATCACGACTAACCACGACTAAAAGCATAAAAGCATAAAAAAAAAAAAAAAAAATAAAAACTTCAGCTCAGACTTAGACCAGGACTTAGACCAGAATTTAGACCAGGATTAGACCTAGACCTGGACTTAATTAGGACTAAATCAGAACCAAACCTAGACCAGGACTAAACCAGGACTAAAACCAGCGTAAAAAAAAATCGAAACTACAGCTCAAGTAGGACTCAGCTGGGACTGAACCAGGACTGAACCAGGACTGAACCAGGACTGAACCAGAAATGTTTCAAAACAAAATGTGATATAGTGAAATATATTAAATCTATTGATAAAAATAAAACAAAACTGTCTTGATTATCACCTTAATAAAGCAAAAATAAGACGTAATACATAATGAACAGTTTTTAAGAATGATTCAGGCTTGGTAACTAGACTACTTCATTAATATTGCACCTCAAAGTTTTATTATAGTAAAATTATTATTATTATTTTAACCTAAATGATCTTAATCTTGTTTTTCTTGCTCTAAATTGTGTATTTTAGTTTACTCTTTAAGTGTGGCTGTTTTTAAATGTGCTATTCTTAAACCAAATCTCTTTAGTAGACTATGTAGTTACTATGCATGAATCCTTCTTAATAATCTATTTGTTCATTATGAATTAAGTATTATTCATGCTTTATTACAGATGCAGTTATTATAATATTGTACCCATGCATTCTTTTTTAATAATCCAATTTAACACCCCGTTCGAAAGAATCAGCCGGACTAAAGTCTTTCTAATGAGAGCACATTATCCGTTTTACATAACCCGTCTCCCGTCTGGATCTTCCGTTTGATTGACAGCTCCGGAGCGCTAGCGTAGCCCCCCCCCCCCCCCCTCCCGCGCGGCGTTAGCTTGCTCGCGAGATAGCATCAGTTAGCGCCGTTAGCATGCTACGGCGGATTTGCAACACATTTACCTTCCATTTCACTCATGACTAGGGGCCTGCGAACCCATGAAAATACTCGACACCGTTTTTTTCCCCCGACTTATTTATTTATTTCCCCGAGGTCTCCCAGGTTGAATAAAATAAAAAATCTTCGAAAACATCATCCCGGGAGAGGTTACGCTCGGAGGCAACGATATCTCTTAGCCCCCTCTTTTGCGAATGCGTTCAGACGTGAAATTAAAGCTAAAAGTGTGGCGTAATCCCGGCGAGCGCGGGGAAACCGGAGCACCCAGAGGAGAAGACAACCCAGCCATTTAAAGTGTAGTTAATGTGGTGGAAGAGGACCAAGGAGAGGAGGAGATAAGGTCGGAAGTGGCTAGGAGGCGAAGGAGGTAGGAGGCGTCTCGAGCGAAAAGTGAAATTCAATTAAGAGGTGGTAACCTGTGTAATTAAAGAGGTGTAAGTCGCGGCATTCCGTCACTCAAGGTGTTCGGTATTAACACACGCGGAGATTTTAGTTTTTTTTTTTTTATGGTTAGAAAAATTAGTAAAGCAAATTTTTAACGGCTAATATTTTAAGATCTGTAAAAGGTTATTCAAGTGCGGAGAGCAGTAAAAATACAAGAATCTGAGTCAAACACAACGGACTCCAGGCACTCCAAAACAGTAGAAGAAGTGAACACATCGCACGAGAAAAAATATAGTTAAAAGGCTTTTTTTTTTGAATGGCCAAAGCCGACATGTTTGGACCTTAACTGGTCTTAATTAAAGGTTGTATAGAGGATTTTTTTAAGGGAAGAGAAATACAGCGACAGTCCTTGTGCGCGTTCAGAATCACTGTTGAAGTTTCCTGTCTAGAAGTAATTCAGCGACCGACGCGTCAGTTTTTAGACCCTTCGTCTGCTTCGGTCGCGCCATCGCTGGACGAGATCTCCAAGAATCACCTCAGTTTGGCTTTGCTACTTTTCCACTTCTCTTCTTCTTTCAGCGACCTCAAAAACGGACTTTCTTTCGCGGCGAACCGGTCGTGGATTCTCGTCCGCCGTCGCGACAAACTTTGTGCGAAATGCGAGGAAGCGACAGTTCGAAAAAGCCTCTAAGAACCGCTGCGTAAACCACGTAATCCCCGCGCTCCGACGAGTCAGTTACACTAGGGAGTTTGATTGACAACCTAACAGCCAATAGAAAATGAGGGAGCCTCGTTTTCTATTGGCTGATGTTTATCTGGCCTCAACACGTCCACAGTTGATAGATTTTTCGTTCTTTTTTTTTTTTGGTCATCATAATTACAAAGCTGCTGCGTCTCTGTAATGGTATTTTAATCTTTCACTGACAGTTTGAAACAAAAAAAAATCCTCCATACAACCTTTAAAACAGAACATGGGCGTGGCCTTCAAGTAGAACACATCAACCAACAGCAGGCTGGAGTCAACTGGAGGCAGACAAAACAGGTGCACAGGAACAGGACATGGTACAGGCAAAAAAAAAAACAAAAAAAAAAAAACACACATCATTACCATTAATGTTTCCATTATTATTGTTACCAATAATTTATTAATATTTATAGTTTGTATCATAATTTATATATTTTATTATATTTATATTATATTAGTGTTATTTTTTATCATTTATTATTTTATTTTTTTTATTATTATTGCCGTCATTATCAATAATAACCATAATAAGAATAATATACATAGAGAACCTATCAACCTGGGTATGTAAATTTAGTGACTGGTGCTGTGTATTGATGTGCAAAAGGTGAATAGACACATTTTTCAACATTATTTACCCAAAAATTACAATATGTACATCTGCAGATTATAATGATCAAATTTAAGAATTAGGTTAATGGTTTTAACCTCAACTAAGTCAGTTCAAGGGCACTAGTTTAGATTTGTACAACACTAATAAAGGTTCAGCTCAGAAGGCAACAATAAGAGCAGTAATAGAGTAGAAAAACTTCAAACAAAAAAAGGATAAAACAGGTTGTGTGGCTGGAAATCTTGTTGTGAACCATTTAATGTTTGCAGATGATTTGGTTATTTTCAGTCCGAGCACCTCTGGTCTCCAGCAGCTGCTTCACATGTGTTCAGCTCACAGTGTGGAGCGCGATCTACATCAGGGGAGGCCAACTAGTAGAAGAGTGTTACTGCAAAGAGCCACATCATACACATGGGTACACATGAACATCATCCCATTTCTCAATCATGTATGCACGCACACGCACGCACACACAGACCGATGCTCAGCCAGATTTAATGAAAATAACCACACCAACATGACACGCGCTATGTTCCAAGCCAGTTGAGATGATGCAAGCGTTACGGTCTCCGAGTGTTTCGTACATTTTTGGAAAAACTGCATCTGCTTTTCTGCCTGACTTTTCAAAGCGACCGAAGTTCAGTCCCTTTTGGAAATTCCTGTTCGATGTTAGGATGGAGTGAGCTGAAGTGACGCTGAAGATTTGAAGCTTTGAAATGCGCTAATGCTGCGTGACACATAAGGCAGATCGGCCATTACGTTCAACAAAAAAATATAAACTCTCCCACTCTGTCAAAAACGTCCTGTGTTCTTCTTCATATTTTCGTTTGGCTGTGCTTTTTTTCCCTGCCGTTTTGAGCGCTAACATGACGGAAATTGTTTACAACGCAAATGATGTCGCGCGTTTGACGTCACTCAAACAGACTTACCTGGTCAGCGCCGTCTAGCCGTAGGGGGAATGAATGGTAACGCCAGCCGAGCATATTTGACGCATGTTATGTGAAAGCTCCTGAAGAGCCGCATGAAACTAGTTAAAGAGCCGCATGAGGCTCGGGAGCCACGGGTCGGCCAGGCCAGATCTAAAGTATAATGCAACCAAGAGTCTGGTCATGACCTGTAGGGCCAAAGAAGATCAGCACGTGAGATTTCCTGACTTTTGCCTGTCGAATGTTGTGTTGTCTGTTACAACAAAAATTAAATATCATCACCGCGGACATGACAGATGATGATGATGATGGTGATGATGATGATGATGATGTGTACAGACAGTGTAGGACGCTCTGTGCTCAGGTAAAATACCCTTATGCGTAAGTTTGTTTTTTGTACAAATGATGTAAGTAGTAGTAGTAGTAGTTAGTAGTAGTAGTTGTAGTAGTTTTGTAGTAGTAGTAGTAGTAGTAGTAGTAGTAGTAGTAGTAGTAGTAGTAGTAGTAGTAGTAGTAGTAGTAGTAGTAGTAGTAGTAGTAGTAGTAGTAGTAGTAGTAGTTGTTGTAGTAATAGTAGTTGTAGTAGTAGTAGTAGTAGTTAGTTGTTGTAGTAGTAGTAGTTGTTGTTGTTGTTGTAGTAGTGTAGTAGTTTAGTAGTAGTAGTAGTAGTAGTAGTAGTAGTAGTAGTAATAGTTGTTGTAGTAGTAGTAGTTGTTGTTGTAGTTGTAGTAATAGTAGTAGTAGTAGTAGTAGTTGTAGTAGTTGTTATTGTTTAGATCTTATTGTTCACCGTTGTACAGTTCACTCTGGACTCATTATAAAAAAGCCAGTTTGTAAAGACTGCAGGTGACAACAGTGACGCTTTACGGAGCTTTTGAGGAGCCACGATGGACGAGTGCGACTGAAATGTTTGTTACTGCTCGAGTGAAAAGTACAGTTTTATCTGCAGACTGAACAAATCAGACAATGAAATAATAATGTCACTCACAAATCTGAGATTCAGTGCAATAAGGTGTCAGTCCAACATGTGGAGACACTGGTGTGGCTCTTTTAAAAACATGAACAAAAACATTTGAGTCTGTATTGCTCAAGAATACACATTCAAAACCTGTCGTATGTACCTGAAGCTACAAACCTGTGTTCCCTTCTGCTCAGGTCCGGAGGGTTTGGGCTTCACCGTGGTCACTCGGGAACCCACGGCTCACGCTCCCGGTCCCATCCTGGTCAAGAACATCCTTCAGAGAGGAGCGGCGGTTCAGGACGGCCGCCTGCAGCCAGCGGATCGCATCCTCGAGGTCAGACGAACATTATTTCACTTTATACCAGGGTTAGTCTAATCGATACTGAAACTAAAATCGAAACTAGATACAAATGTTTGACAGATATAAGCCCACATGGCAATAGAAAAGAAAGTACAACCATTTAATGAAGAAAATCACATTCTACTGTCTAAAGAAAGACTGTTTTTTTCTAAATAGACTCAAAAAAGGCAGATTTTTGTTGTCATAGAGAAAGTTTGTGGGTCTGGTGACTGAAAGAAATTCTCAGGTTCAATTAATAAAAATGTTGCTATATTATATTTTTACTTGTACATTTACATTTGTATATTTATTAGGCCTTATTTGACTTCAGTTTCTGGCTATTTCTGCTACCTCTTTAGGATTTCTTATACAATTTCTTGCTACTGTGTCCAGATATTTTCCCTTGTGGATCAATAAAAAGTTTGTCTAAGTCACAAAGTCCTTAGTCCAAAACTAGTCCATTTTAAAGGTCCTAAATGACACAAAATTGACTCGTTTGAGCTTTAAGCCGTGTTATTATGTCGTTTTCTTGTCACAAACAGACCTGGAGTTGTGTTTAGTTTCATTTACACATGTTAAAAACACAAACCCTGCGTATCCTCTGTGTGTTTATGTTTATTTAGGTTATATTTTTGTGTTTTTTCGCAGGTGAACGGCGTGGACATGACCGGCCGTAGTCAGGAGGAGCTTGTGGCGATGCTGCGTTCCACCAAACAGGGAGAGAGCGTCCATTTGGTCGTGGCCCGACACGAGGACCCTTTTCTGCCTCGAGAACTGGTGAGTAAAGAGCTCTTATATAAACTCGCTGCGGTGAACGCTCAAGACGCCGTTTACTCGACCAACGCGGCGGTTCTGAGAGGCTTTTTCAAACCTGTGGCTTCCTCGCAGTTGTGTTGCACACACCTGCATGTGTTCTGTGTTGCCAACGATTCCCGAGATCGAGGATTTAAAGCTGGAATAAAGAGAATGTTTGTTGAATTTTATCAAGGGGAAAGACGTTATTGTCCTTCCTACGGGATTTGGTGCATCACATACGTCTCCAGAACTGTGTGTGTGTGTGCGTCGACTGTCACTGTTTGATCTCGAGTTTGTCAGGTGACGAAAAATCAGCTGCAAATGTAAATATGTCATATCATTATTTAAATATAAATATAAATATCTTTTTCTAATTGAAAAAAATAGACAAACTACAAGATGTCATGTAAATGTGAAGTGTTTTCTTTGTGTTCGGACACTTTTGGTCGTCCGTGTTGTGGTGAGGCCAATATTAAACAAATATTTGATTTAATGGGCGTTAACGTCCCTAAGGTTGTAACAGAAACTAATCATAACATAAAATGAAGTGCAAATTTAAAAAAAATTAAAGTGGCAACATTTTCATAAGATGAGGGATAATAAAACACACGTCAAATACAAGTGAGAGTCGGAAGATAATCGAAGGCTCAGGGTTAGTTTGACTCCTGCTCTATATTATGTCCATTTAATTCAATTTACAGACAGATAATATGTGGCACCACATCAGTATTTATCAGAGGAGTAAATTGTTGGCGTCTGTGACACCGTACTGCCCCTGAACGCACCTTTAGAGTGATGTCACTCATGTGCGTTTGTTTACACCAGTGTTCAGTCACTTGAAATCCTTTAATTTTCTCAAAAATCATCAGTGCATCTTATATATTAATTCTGGTTGTGTTTACTGACCTCAAACCGATTTTATGTACTGCTCAGCACTCAAAAATCTGTCAAAGTACGACTTTGGTAAATTACGAAGCCGCACCACTCGATTGATTGAGCGTTATGGCTTCTGTGGTCAGGAGCCTCATGGAGTAATGCACATTCACCAGGACAGAGAGGCGACGCCGGAGAGTTACGCTACGATCTGCAGATGGATCGTAGACGCCTGGACTAAGGATCTTTTTCAAGTGTCTCCGATTGTTTCACCTTATATTCCTGAAAAATACAGTGTACGTTTGAATAAATATAAAGCAGAGCTGAATCTACCGTTAAAGTTACACAATGCACCTATAAATTCCCCGTCCAAAAAGTGCTGGTTCAGACTGGCCTATATATTTTGACATGCATCAGTTTCAGCTTTTTCCTCTTCTTTTGTCAGTCCATAAACACCTCGTATAGAAAAACAAAGCCGCGCTCCGTCACGGCGCTGCGCTCTTCCTGCCCTCCGCTCCGTTGTTGACACAGCTACGCCAACGGAAGCCCCGCGCGTGCTAACCCCACAGGAAACCAGCGAGCGGGCATGTGCGCGCACCGCGGGCGCTAACCGACCCGCTACCTGCCGGGGTCAAGGGTCACGCGCCACCATTTTCCCTTCAAGGCAACAATAAACACGCGACATGAAAGCTGGTCATCCTCTGTGCCGCCAATTCCCTTTCCTGTCCTATATGTCTTTGGATTTATCAGGATTTGTTCAACCACATTTAAAGGCGCTGGACCAGTTTTTACCACCTGTTTTTAAAAACATGAAAGTTCGATTTGAAAGGTTTTATAGTGAACAAAATGGACTCTTGGAGGTTTAAATGGTTTTATAAGGCTGTTTTCTCATCAAAAAACAGACCTGGAGTTGTGTTTTGTTTCACCCTTTAGTCCAGGGTTAGTCCAGGTCCGGTTCTTGTTCAGTTTGGGTTTAGTTCTGCTTTAGTCCTGCTTTAGTCTTACTTTATTCCTACTTTAGTCTGCGTTTAGTCCACGTTTAGTCCGCGTTTAGTCCACGTTTGGTCCGCATTTAGTCCGTGTTTCAACAAAAAAAGTACTACATCCTTTAGTCCATGTTTAGTCCAGATCCGGTTCTGGTTTAGTCTGGGTTTAGTCTGCGTTTAGTCCATGTTTCAAGAAGAAACTACTAGATTCTTTAGTCCAGGTTTAGTCCAAGTCTGGTTCTGGTTTGGTCTCGGTTTAGGCCTGCTTTTGTCCTACTTTAGTCCACGTTTAGTCCATGTTTCAACAAAAAACTACTACATCTTTTAGTCCATGTTTAGTCCAAATCCGGTTCTGGTTTAGTCCTGCTTTAGTCCTACTTTAGTCTACGTTTAGTCCTTGTTTCAACAAAAAGCTACTACATCCTTTGGCCCAGGTTTAGATTGAGTTTAGTTCTGGTTTAGTCTGGATTTAGTCTGGTTTAGTCTGGATTTAGTCTGGGTTTAGTCCTGCTTTAGTACTGGTTTCCCCTATCCTTGTCCTTGGCACCAGTTTCAACAAAAAACTACTTTAATCCAGGTTTAGTCCAAGTCCGGTTCTGGCTTAGTCTGTGTTTAATGACGCTTTAGTCCTACTTTAGTCCTGATTTAGTCTGGGTTTAGTCCACGTTTAGTCCTGCTTTAGTGCTGGTTTCCTCTATCCCTGTCCTTGGCACCTTTTAACAAAAAAAACAAAAAAAACAAAACACAACATCCTTTAGTCCAGGTTTAAACTGGACTTAGTTCTGGTTTAGTCCTGGTCTGGGTCTGGTTTAGTCTGAGTTCAGTCCTGCTTTAGTCCTACTTTAGTCCTAGTTTATTCCTGGTTTAGTACTCAGTTTAGTAATTCCAGGTCCAAAATGATCCAAATTATTCCAGTTTTTGCACGTTTTACGAGTTTTGTTTAACTCATAGATACGTTTAATGCCTTACGGTGGAACATTTCAGGCAAACAAATATCATCTCCACGGAAAGAAGAAAATGGTGAACCAAATATGAGAAAAGTTCCATAGTGAACCTTTAAAGTTCAGTAGCAGATGTAATTGAATGGATAAAAATTATGAAAATTTTGGGTATTTTTGTGTAATAAAAGGTTAAGTTTTGGTTTAATTCAGATTTTTTTTTTTTAATATTTCGCAAAAATTTCTGCCCACTAGTGTTAAATTAAAGCTGTAAAACATTATTTCTGTTAATTAGACCATATTTCAAACATTTGTTGTCATAAAATCTTTAGTTAACAACAAGAAAACTCCACAGAAAATCTATGGAGCCTCTGGGGGCAGAAAGGACACAACGCTCACGATGTGTTTCAGTTTAAATTGTCATCATTAGTCTTTTTTTTTTTTTTTTTTTTATGAACTAAAACGTAATGATTTGAGTTTTAACAAGACCCCAGAGACCAGACCAGCACCTCGGATCCATCTGTAAAAATCCTCCACAAACTGCATCTGTGTCTGTGAGACTGAAAGAGACATTAACATAAAACACACTTCACATGTCAAATTCATCAAGTTAAACTGTACGGAACTAGACCTGGACTAGACCTGGACTAAACCTGGACTAGACCAGGACTAAACCAGAACTAAACCTGGACTAGACCAGGACTAGACCTGGACTAAACCAGAACTAAACCAGGACTAGACCAGAACTAAACCTGGACTAGACCAGGACTAGACCTGAACTAAACCAGACTAAACCAGAACTAAACCTGGACTAGACCAGAACTAAACCAGGACTAAACCAGAACTAAACCAGAACTAAACCAGAACTAAACCTGGACCAGACCAGAACTAAACCAGAAACTAAACCTGGACAAGACCAGAACTAAACCAGGACTAGACCAGGACCAGACCAGAACTAAACCAGAACTAAACCTGGACCAGACCAGAACTAAACCAGAACTAAACCTGGACCAGACCAGAACTAAACCAGGACTAGACCAGGACTAGACCAGAACTAAACCTGGACCAGACCTGGACTAGACCAGAACTAAACCTGGACTAGACCAGAACTAAACCTGGACTAGACCAGAACTAAACCTGGACTAGACCAGAACTAAACCTGGACCAGACCAGGACTAGACCAGAACTAAACCTGGACCAGACCAGAACTAAACCTGGACTAGACCAGAACTAAACCAGAACTAAACCAGAACTAAACCAGAACTAAACCTGGACCAGACCAGAACTAAACCAGAACTAAACCAGGACCAGACCAGAACTAAACCAGGACTAGACCAGGACCAGACCAGAACTAAACCTGGACCAGACCTGGACTAGACCAGAACTAAACCAGGACTAACCAGACTAAACCAACTAAACCAGGACTAGACCTGGACCAGACCAGAACTAAACCAGAACTAAACCAGGACCAGACCAGAACTAAACCAGGACTAGACCAGGACCAGACCAGAACTAAACCTGGACCAGACCAGAACTAAACCAGAACTAAACCAGGACCAGACCAGAACTAAACCAGGACTAGACCAGGACCAGACCAGAACTAAACCTGGACCAGACCTGGACTAGACCAGAACTAAACCAGGACTAAACCAGGACTAAACCAGAACTAAACCAGGACTAGACCTGGACCAGACCAGAACTAAACCTGGACTAGACCAGGACCAGACCAGAACTAAACCAGGACTAGACCAGGACCAGACCAGAACTAAACCAGGACCAGACCAGAACTAAACCTGGACTAGACCAGAACTAAACCTGGACTAGACCAGAACTAAACCTGGACTAAACCAGAACTAAACCAGAACTAAACCTGGACCAGACCAGGACTAGACCTGGACCAGACCAGAACTAAACCAGAACTAAACCAGAACTAAACCAGAACTAAACCTGGACCAGACCAGGACTAGACCAGAACTAAACCAGGACTAGACCAGGACTAAACCTGGACTAGACCAGAACTAAACCTGGACCAGACCAGGACTAAACCAGAACTAAACCTGGACCAGACCAGGACTAAACCAGAACTAAACCTGGACTAGACCAGGACTAAACCTGGACTAGACCAGAACTAAACCTGGACTAGACCAGAACTAAACCTGGACTAGACCAGAACTAAACCTGGACT